TCTCTTCTTTCTGTCACGTTTAAGACATTCATATAGAAGTCAGAACACTTTACAGACTGACACTGTTTTTTAAAGGAGGGCAATGAGCTTTCCTGCCTTTAAGGTGAAACTAAATTCGGGGGTTTTTTTACCCAAAGGGGGAAATACCTTCTTAGCATCACCTGCCATGCAGTTGGGTCTCCTTTTCTTCCTCCCTCCCCCACTCTCTACCCCATTTTCATGAAGGGGAGAAGGGAACAACGTTTCCTTTATGTCCACTCCTTCAGCTTCACAGAGAACAACTAGTTTTGTCATTTGAAACAATGTGCCTTCTCAAAGCAAAACCCGTGAACAGACCAGGCCGCCCCTCCTGGGGATGATTTAGAGAGAAGACTCTTCCAAACGGTCCAAGTGGGCTAACTCCAAAGCTGCAACTGATGTCTAAAATTCCACCATTAATGGCACATGATTTTACCTGAAGACACTGACTATTATAATGACTTATTGATGGAAGGGAGTCCAGCTACAGTTCCTGAAATCAGGGTGAAGCTGCGGGAGGGGGTGGAGGATCTGCAGCACTGCAGGGGGAGGCGCTCCTGGCACACAGGGCACTGCCAGGCCTCCCCTGGGGCCCTCTCCCCACTGATCTCGGGCGGAGCCTGGCACTCGGCATATGTCTCCCTAATCAGGCACCTCCTAGTAGCAGTGGCATTCGCGGCTCCAGCCCACCTTGGCCTCCATTTTCACTCTGGACGCCAGGTTTGGGGATCCACTCCAAACTCAGTCTGGATCTTCTTGTTCCTCTGTTGCCTTTGCCAGCTGGCCTGGAGTTAATTATAGTCTGATGAAGGAGACCAACACATGAACAAACAATTACCATGCAGGGCTATGAGTGCTCAAATAGAAGTAAGGCAAAAGGCTACAGGAATATCCAGAACTGCCTGGGAAAGTCTTCACAGGAAAGGTTGCAATTGAGTTTTAATCCTGAGACTTAAAACGATCTCACGAGAGTCATTCCAGGGCTAATGAACCACCTGTGCAAAGAGATGGAAGCAAGAACCAGCAGGGCCCCCAGGATGGTGAGAAGTCCAGTGTGGCTGGGGCATAAGGTTTTAGAAGGGGCAGAAAGAGAGACAGAAGATATGATTGGATGATCTCAGACATTTTCCCCCTGAATGTAACAGGGAACCAACAGAGGTTAAACATGAGAATGCTATACTCACATTGGTGTTTCAGAAAGGGAACAAAGCCTACAGCTCGCTTCGAAGAGTACAGTAACTGTCGGACAGAGTAGCCATGTTAAGATGACCTGTCAAATATCTCAAACAGTGGCTCCCACTGGGGAAGATGTTGCCCCCTGGGGATATTTGGCAATGTCTGGAGACAACTTCGGTTGTCACATCGGCAGGGGTGGGTGCCTACGCTTGACATCTAGCAGCTAGAGGCAAGGGATGTTGCTAAACATTCTACAATACACAGGACAGCCGCCCACAACAAAGCATTATTTAGCTCAAAATATCAATACTGCCAAGGCTAAGAAACCGTGCTCTAAAAGACGAGATGGCCACAGGGTACAAGATGACACCGCCCACAGGGACTCCCCAGAGAGGCAAAAAGGAGACCAGGAGATTGTGGGGCTTCTCACATTTTTGTCCTGCCCCCACCGCAGGTGTGATGCTCACACACCCATGCAACTTGGAGCTTGGCTTCTTTCCAAGGAGTGAGAAGAATGGTATTACTGCAACAACCTTGAATTTGACCCAATTGAATTTTTTTTAAGGAAATCGTTTGTAAACTTCAATACTTGATTAGTGACAAAGGTGCTTGCTGATCAAAGTAGGCTGATCAACGAGGTGCAGAATCCCTGCCTGGGGCAGTGCTCCAAGGGAGAAAGAGCCAGAACACCACCTCCCTTTGGGCAGGATCAGTGACCTTTCAGTCCAAGTAGAAATGCATGGAAAAGAAGCTCCACCCTCCTCTTCCTGAGCAGGAATTACTGATTCTCCAGGACCCTCTCCTCTACTGTCCCCCAGGCCAGACCACTCCCCACGGGGCAAACCCAAATTGCCATTACCATTTTAAATTCAAGTCCCAGTTCCTGGCAGGCTTAGAGACACCGGAGTTCTAAAATGTAAAATGGTAAACCAAGCCATGTTTGAAAGCCAATAATGTATTGAGAGTGGGGATATCAAAATACATTCTATCCAGACCAAAGTGGAAAATAAGGCTTTTTTACAGATAACGTATTTTTGCTGCTTTCACTCTCTTTGCTAGCTGCGTCTCCAGGGCTCACCTCTGTCTCATTAGCGCGGCCTCCACCACAACAGTTCAGCAGCTAGAAGCAGTTATTTGGAAGCAGGGTATAAGCACCACGCGCAGGAGTCAAGTTGAACTCCGCAAATTGGAGAAACTGCCCTCTTGTTGCTTCTCAATTGAGGGAATGGGATTGCATTTAAAAGACTGCCTGTGAAAGTGCTTGGGCAGGAAACAGAATTTCATAGATTCAAACTACAGCCTGTGGCTGGGAAGAGATCTGGGACTCTGCAGGACCTGAGGACTGAAGGGCTCCTTCCAGAGCACTGTGCCTGCGCAGGGTATCCCTGGAAGGATGCGGCTGCCGCCAGGGAGGACACAGCGGGTGTCAAGGAGCAGAGGGAGGGAAACAGTCAACGTTCGCAGCGGGCCCTTCCGTAAGCTCTGAATGCTGGATCGTGTACATGCATCACCTACGCACAAATCATCATCATAACTCAAGAGACAAACGAATGATATAAAACCCACAGAAGAGGGGACTTCCCTGGTGGGCCAGTGGTTGAGACTGCGAGCTTCCAATGCAAGTGGCGCAGGTTCAGTCCCTGCTCAGGGAACTAAGATCCCACATGCTATGTGGCTTGGCTAAAAAAAAAAAATATTTAAAAATAAGAGTAACTTTAAAACTAAATAAAATTCATAAAAATGAGCCTGTACAAACAATCCCAAGTTCGCGAATCACAAGTCTCCATGCTTTCCTTCAGCGTCCTCTTGCTGTGTGGTCAGGGGAGTTGTGAAAGAAAAGAACAGTAAGATCAACAGCGGGAACTAAAATTCACTTCTGAGCTCTCAGCTCTGACTTCCAACCACCAGGAGCTCCTCCATCTGGAGGTCCCTTCCATGGGCCTCTCTAAGACAGGGTGCTCCAAACTCAAATCCCCCTCTTGTCTCCCTCTTTCCTCCAGGCCTAAGCCCCTTCTGATATTTTCCAGTATTATGAGAAACAACTACCCATGCAGCTTCCCAATCTAAAAACCTGAGCACTGCCTTAGGGACCCTCTCACCCTCATGACAGTCGCAGATGCTATAAATTCCATCTTAAGGAAGCGTTTCACAGAGGTCGCCTCTCCTGCTGTCCTCCTGATGCCTTACACACTGCATTCCTTCCCGCATCTCCCAGACAGTTCATGCTCCATATGTCCCAGCCCCCAGCCCCATCAGCTTCCCTAAACATGATGACTTCATCATGCTGAGGAGCCTTGGATAGCTCCCTGCTGCCTACAGAATTAAGTCCAAATGCCCTATTTTGATAAATGACTGTTTACATTGTGGACCAGTCGATCCTATCCATCCTAAAGGAAAGCAACCCTGAATATTCATTGGAAGGACTGATGTTGAAGCTGAAACGCCAATACTTTGGCCACCTGATACAAAGAGCCGACTCATTAGAAAAGACCCTGATGCTGGAAAAGACTGAAGGTAAAAGAAGAGGGTGGCAGAGGATGAGATGGTTGGATGGCATCATCTACTAAGAGGACATGAGTTTAAGCAAACTCTGGGAGTTGGTGATGGACAGGGAAGCCTGGCATGCTGCAGTCCATGGGGTTGCAAAGAGTTGGACATGACTGAGTGACTGAACAACAAAATTGTGGACAGAAGAATCATTTCACCCCTAACACATACCTGTGCTCTGGCTACTCTGAAGTAATCAGCCTTGCTCATTTCTTCCTCTCCCTGCCTCCATATCTTTGCACTGGTTGTTTCCTTGACGTGAAAGCTTCCCCCTCACCCCACTTTGCTTATCCAAAGATTCCTGTCCACCCTTCTAGACCCCTACTCATCTTACATTTCCTCTGAAAAGCCTCTCTGGACCGCTCCCTCCTCTTTGCTCCTCCAACACTCTGCACACATGGCCCCTTACCACACTCTTTCGTAACTGTTTATGCTTCTATCTCTCCTGCCAGAAAAGTCAGAGGCTTAAAAAAAAAAAAAAGCAGCTGCTATATTTTATTCATCTTTGAATCCGCTGCACCTCCCTGCTAGCATTGCACATAAATGTTTGCTGAATGAATTTGCAGCAAGTACTTTGGTAAAAATATAACACATTATCCTCCCAATTCTATAGACCTCTGTGGCTAAAATCTCATTTCTTTGGCCTCTCTCTCTGCATACCTATTGGCACGCTACCACAGGTCTCAGGAGGGCCGGTTATTCAGAGAGCTAACAAAGTGCCTGCTATTTGTAAACCTCTGGGCCAGATTTAGAGATCGCCCATCCAACCCTAACAGCAATTCTCTGAGCACTCATCCACTCTAGCAAGTGTTTCTTTCCCAAATGTCTAAAGTCCTATATGTAACCTTTGTTTACCCTGAAAACATTTTCAGGGAAGCTGAAAGGAGATAAAAATAAAACATAAAAAATAAAAACCATGTAGTGACCCTAGAGGGACCCACCTGTCAGTGAGCGTCAGGTCCCCTAGGGAGGGGGGTGGGCTTTGGACTTAGCTCGAATCCCTGGCACTTCTGCTGTCATCAGCTACTTTACTGCCTGAACCTCCGAGGCTCCCTGCTCCCTAGCGAAGACCTTGGCAGTCCATTAATCACAAGACTATTCAGGTAAAACAGCATCAAAAGCAGAGTGATGAGCTTGGTGGCCCGAGGAACAGTGGTCTTTAGGGTTCCTGGGCCCAATTTGTCTCAAATAAAGTGGGTGCTGACCGCCGTCCCAGTGCGGCAGTCACCCCCCACACAGGTTCCAGGGCGGGTACTCACGGCTCCGGGGTGTAGAGGGGGTCCGAGCCGTGGCGGACGTACTGGGTGCAGTGGAACACTCTGTAGGCCAGTCCCGCCAGAAAGTCCCGAGGGCTCAGGTATCCGGCCACTGGCCTCACCGTGAAGCCAGACCTTTCTAAAGAGATAACAGAAAGAGTCAAGTGAGTATTAACGCAACAGGACTTGACGGTCCAAGCAGGGCTTCCTATTGTTTTTAAGGACGCTCCAGAAACAATGTAACCAAGGTCCCAAAACTCTTGACAATTGAATGACATACACTGCTTACAGCTTTCACATCTGTGGCTTCTGATAACTAAAATATACTCACGAATGATGGTTTCCAGGGGAACAAGACATTCATTAAAATGGAAAGAAAGGTGAAAAAAAATTTAAGGATTTGAATTCAGAGGCCAAATTAGGATAAGAAAGCTCAAATGCACAGAAGAAGACTACAATCTAAATTTTTGGTGGTGAGCACACTAGACTGTACACAGAAATAGACACATAAGGTTGTACACATGAAACTTACCTAATATTCTAAACCAATGTGGCCTTGGTAAGAAATAAATTCTTTTAAAAGACATCAGATGTGAAAGACTACTACACATTTTGTGCTTCTATTTATGTGATGTCCAAAGAAGGAAAAGCTATAGACAGAAAGCAAATCAGTGGTTTCCCAGGGCTAAAGATAGGAATAAGGATTGATTATAAAAGAGCAAAAGAGAAATTTCTGTAGAGATAGAAATGTTGTAAAACTGAATAGTTCTGATGGTTACACAATTCTATTAATTTACTAACATCACTGACTTGTACAGTTACAAAGGGTAAATTTTATTTTACATAAACTATACCTCAATGAAGTTGCTAAAAAAATATAAATAAAATATAGTGATGCTTACCATGTATCACTTGATATCTTTCTAAAGACACACCTAGATAAGAATACTTCCTGTATGTATGTGGTCAGTGAACACACTGCCAATTTAGCCCGTTGACTAGCATTATGGAATTGGTTCATACTACAGCTTTTTATTGACAGTCAAACCTATAGTTTTTCCAACAGTCGTGTACAGATGTGAGATATGAACCATAAAGAAGGCTGAGTGTCAAAGAATTGATGCTTTTGAACTGTGGTGCTGGAGAAGACTCTTGAGAGTCCCTTGGACTGCAAGGAGATCCAACCAGTCCATCCTAAAGGAAATCAGTCCTGAGTGTTCATTGGAAGGACTGATGCTGAAGCTGAAACTCCAATACTTTGGCCACCTGATGTGAAGAGCTGACTCTGGAAAAGACCCTGATGCTGGAAAAGATTGAAGGAGGGAGTAGAAGGGGCGACGGAGGATGAGATGGTTGGATGGCATCACCAACTCGATGGACATGAGTTTGGACAGGCTCTGGGAGATGGTGATGGACTGGGAAGCCTGGCGTGCTGCAGTCCATGTGGTCACAAAGAGTTGGACACGTTCAAGCTACTAAACAACAACCCCCTAACCCCTTCATTCTACATTGTCATATCCCATTTCTTTGATATTATGAAAACAATTATATTAATTATGACAATTTGAAAGATACACTAAAGCTCTACATGCTCTATTAGTTTGTGGTAAGAGGACAAAAACAAAATAAGCAGAATACAATAAAATCTATGAAAATCACACTAGACAGCTAACCCAGTTAAATACTGCCTCATGCTTGCTGCTCATCAGCGCCCACAAAAAAATGACAGGAGGGCTCTTCTCTCTGATATAAGCACTGTAAAGGCTCCCATTTTGAAAACCTCAGTTCATTCGGAAAGCACTTCTGAATGGTTAGAAATAGTTTTTAAAGATAAAAACCAATTAAGTGTATAAAACAAGTCCGCCCTGGGATCCTGGGTACCTACAGGGAAATAACCCTATTCTCAGATATCCTCAAGCCTATGATTCTAACAGTATTAAGGTCATTCCAAAAGTTTCCAGGTAGATTCATCATTCCCCACTGAAAATCAAAAAGATAAGTGTATTTTCTTCTTTTTGTATTCTATGCCAGTATCCCACATGTGGGGTACAAGGGGACATTCTTTAATAGCTATATATTTTATTTTCTTATAAATTTTAAAATGTGTATCTATTACATCAAGAACTTTGAATTTGTGAATACCATTGCTTAAGAAGTTTCTTTTTAAAATAAAGTTGGTATTTTAAAAGTGAGTCAATTATAAGAAATAAAAATACACACAACTTATATTGTGCTTGCTGTTTACCAATGAATGATGCAAACTGACTACCCAGGACAACCAGTTCACCAAGGGTGATGCAAAACAATAGCAATAATAGTAGTAATGATAACTAAAACTCTGGTACACTTAATGTGTGCCCAGCAATAACTTTAGGCACACATTGTTAGTTTCCCCTCCCAACCTGGTAAGGTAGATAAGATGATGATCTCTGTTTGCAGAGAGGAAACGGAAGCAAAGAGAAGCTAAGGCAATTCATCCATCTAAGGTCACACAGCCAGGAACTGGTGGAGCCGGCCTCAACCCCAGGCATTCTGCATCCCGAATCTGTTCTGAACCATACTGCCCCTCATAAAAATATTAAATTGGGTGACAGATATGGAAAATATTGAGATGGTAATGTAACTACTGGGGTTTGAGAAACAAAGCAGTAAAAAGCAATCCTCATACAGGAGTAATCGAGCCCATGGTAAATATGTAATACATAACTCCATGGGAAAGAAAGAGGCAAGCCAGAGGCAGGGCCATCAGGGAGTATAGAATTTAGTTAAACAACACATAGGTATCACATAATTAGGGGCTAATTGAATGATACTGATCAGTGGTTCTTAATCTCTTTCAGTAACAAATACCAAGGATGGCGACCATGCACAGGGCCCTCCCATCATGCTAAGGGTGGTTCTCAGGGGACCCGCTGTCAGGCCACACCTGCCTTTCCCCCGATACACACATGATCTGGGATGAAATCGGGAAAGGGAGAGGTCACGCTGGCTGTATGATCAGGATTCAGAGAGAGTCCAGGGCTTGCTCCGAGTCTTGAGGAACACAAAGAATTTAAGTAGGTAGAGGGATGACTGTGTGCTGGAGAAGACTCTTGAGAGTCCCTGGGACAGGGGGGAGGTCAACCAGACAATCGTAAAGGAAAGCAACCCTGAATACTCATTGGAAGGACTGATGCTGAAGCTCCAATACTTTGGTCACAAGATGCGAGGAGCTGACTCATTGGAAAAGACCTTGAGGCTGGGGGCGGGGGCAGAAGAAGAGGGTGACAGAGGATGAGATGGCTGGATGGCATCACTGATTCAATGGACATGAACTTGGGCAAACTCCAGGAGATGGTGACAGACAGGAAAGCCCGGCGTACTACAGTCCATGGGACTGCAAAGTCAGACACGACTTGGCATCTGAACAACAACTATCCTAGCAAGTCACAGAGCCTAAGTAACGCTATGAAGACCCACAGCTAGAACAAAGGGTCTGTGGAGAGTGGTCACAGCAGGAGACACACTGGGAAAACGGGGTCGGGGCCGTGAGCTGAGGATGAGCAGCTAAGAACCTGCCTCTGTTACAAAGCAGAGACCAGCAAACTGCGGTCTGTAGTCCAAACCCAGGCTGCTACCTGTTCATGTACACCTGTGAGCTAAGAATAGTTTCTGCATTTTCAAATGTTCACATTTAAACAGTGATATAAGTATGTACTAATAGCCTCAATATTGGCTCTTGGCCCACACAACCTAAAATATTTACGGTCCATCTGGACTTTTACCAAAAAATTTAAAAGTTTGCCAACCTCAGTAAAATCAAGGGGAAGCCACTGCTAGCTTCTGAGCACGGATGCCAGGAACAAAGGAACTCTCTAGGGAGCTTTATCTGGAAGCTGCGGACAGGAGAGGAGAGGGGAGGAGAGGCTGGGGTCAAGGGTGCAATGATGAGGCCTCAGTGTGAGTGCCACATGGGGATGGAAGGATGGAGCTCAAAGCTAGAAGTGACAGTGCCCGCAGACTGGGGTAAGCTCAGTTCCGTTAGGCCCTTCTAATAAGCCCCTGCTGTAATGCCCTGGGCCTGAGAATGCATTCCCTTAGGTGGCAAAATGAACTTTACTCATGGAGTTAAGGTAAGGGTCTTGCGCTGGGGCAATCAGCCCAGATGATCCCGGTGGGGCCGCTCAGAAGCATCCTTCTGAGAGACAGGCAGGAGGGTCAGAGAAGGAGGCAGGTGATGGAAGCAAATGTCAGAGTGAGGCGAGGAAGGCGCTCTGTGGCACGGTATGCAGATAGACTCTAGAAGCTGAAAAGGAAGGAAACAGAAGTCTCCAGTGGGATCCAGCCTTGCCAAGACCTTGATTTTAAACTCCTAACCTTCAGAACTTTAAGATAACACGTTCGTGTTAAGTCACTAAGTCTGTGGTAATTGTTACAGCTGAATAAGAAGCTTCTACAAAGGCTGATGAAGAGTGGCAGGAAGGGGGTGGGTAGGACTTCACAGAAAGAGTGTTACTGAGCAGGACTCTCTGAGGCCTTCCCAGAATAGACCCCATCCATGTCCTCTGCCTGCCTTTTGTCTGTGGAAAACTCTTTGCCAATGAATAAATTTAACCAGAGAAGTAAGAAAAGAAAGGAAAACAGCCAAGCAAGCCAGAATAATAATACCGCAGCCATCAAACAAAGTCAAGGACTTTTCATTCTTCCTCAAGGAATATGGACAATATTCTAAGCCATGTTCTTTGAGCTGTTTTGCAGAAACTGAAACCTCCAGCAGGTGGAAGAAGTTAACTGTGTGCTGCCCACAAGCATGTAGACCCCAGGCTGGCTGGAACCAGAAGCCTGATGCTGACTCTCAATCACCTCCCCAGCAACCAACCAGAAAAACGTCCACGAGCTGCCCACAGCCCGTTCCTGGGACACTCCCAGACTCCTGGACGCCCCCAGGGCGGGACACACAGTTTGGAGGGGTTGACCTGCTGCGGCCCCCTGTGCCTGGAGCAATAAAACTACTCTTTAGGCAACAGGAGTCCTTAGCGCCTGAGCCTAAGAATCCATCACCCCCGACAGAAACAGGGAAGGCAGGCAAGGAAGGAAGTTCCAGGGAGGGAGGCAGGCAGCAAGATTTTAGCTTTTAGAGCCATGTGCTTGAAACAGGGGGGAGAGAGAGAAGAGCAGAACCCGAGGACTCAGCCACAGTGAAGGACTGAGCAAGAAGCAGGACCACCCTGAAGCTTCACCTGCACCCCCAACCCTGCGAGAGCCCAGAGCTTCCCCGCTCCCATCCCAGCAGGGTCAGTGAGGAGAGCGGCCCCGCAGAGAACATGAACGCCAGGTGACTCCGCTTCCCCGTGTTCACTGCGGTGCGGCTACCACCACCCTGGGTGCGATTTACACCAATGCGTTAGACTAGTGATCGGACTGACCGACTCCCTGCCAGAGGAAAGCCACTGTGCTCAACGTCATCCAGGATAGTTCTTCATCCAGTATAAAACTTTTGTTTCACTTGTGAACACTAGTGTAATAAACTGTTCAATTGTCCACCTGCTTCTCACAGGTGGCCCAGGTACTGGCGGAGCAGCCCCCACTTTTTAAACCAGAGGGAGTCCTACCTTGTTTGGGAAAAGGGCAATCGCTGCCCACTGTGTCCTTGGTAAGCCCACGCGGATGCTTAGCCTGAAAGAGCCCGTGTGAGGCTCACCTTTCAGAAACGTCGAGACGTCTTCCAGTTGGGGCACATTATCCTCCCTGTAGCCGCAGTGTTTAGTCAGCAGAGGGAAGTTTTTCAAATACTCCCGGCAAGCGTGAGTGGGATAGAGTTTGGAGAGCTCCCGGAACACAACACCCCAAGTCTTCGTTTCTTCCTCCGTGTACTCCACCCTGGGGATGGGCTGACCGCTAGGCAGGAGAGAGCAGAAAAGCATGAGTCTAGCCCTGGGCCACTGTGTTGCGTGTGTCCTCACCCTCGTACCTATGCAAGGCAGGTTATTGCAGAAGGGGATGCCTGAGTGTCTCAAAGGACCCCACGAAGTGTTCTTTTCTGGAAGTAAATGCTAACATTCTAAGTTTGTGTTTGCGTTTAAACTTTAACATAAATGATTTGTTATGTCTTCACACATCCTTCTGGACATTTGAGGAAATTTTTGTTCTGATGCTGGGATCAGTAACGAGGTAAGAGTTCTGGGTTGAAGGAACCGGTTTAGCTATAAAACTGTGCCCTGAGGACTTTGTCTGCAATCCCCTGACAACAGTAAAACATGGATATTGCCTTTTGAAAATAAAATTGCCCATAGATCTTCTCTGTCCTTTGTGGGGAGCTCGCCCCAATCTCCAAGGATAACTTTGAGGTTATTTGTTCAGTTTGCAATACACTGGGAAACACTAAAGCACTGTGGAATTTAACAGTTTTGCAAACTGCAAAATGGGAGTATTTATCAGACATCATGCTAAGAGGTGCACACATTAAGCCTGTCTGTTAGGAGAGAGGACAGCAAACTTCTTCTGGAAAAGGCCAAAAAGGAAGTGCTTTAGGCTTATATGCCATCAGTCTCCATCAAAACTGCTCACTTCTGCCATCATACAGTCTCCATCAAAACTGCTCACTTCTGCCATCATATCTTGAAGACAGCCACAGATAAGATGTAGACACAAGAAAGTAGCTATGTTCTAATAGAACTTGCATTACAAAAACAGGCAACGGTCTGGATTCAGCCCATAAGTCATAGGGAGCTGACGGCTGGTTCGAAATACTGAGAGGCAGCCCTGGACTGGAGTAGTCAGAGAGAGCTTCCTGGAGGAGGCACAACTTAAGCTGAGCCTGTTGGCCAAGCAGGATGTGCAGGTTCCCTGACAGAAAGAAAGGTGAGTTTAAAAATGCTCTTCTAATAACAGACAGAAGGAGAAGGGGGCAGCAGAGGATGAGATGGTTAGATGGCATCACTGACTCAATGGACATGAATTTGAGCAAACTCCAGGAGACAGTGGAGGACAGAGGAGCCTGGCGTGCTGCAGTCCATAAAGTCACAAGGAGTCGGACACGACTTCCCGACTGAAACAACAACAAAAACGGCAGATGGCATCCAGGAGCAGAGACCAGAGCTCCTGACGCCACGCAAGCGAGGAGGAAGTGGAGAATATGGACGTGTACTTTCAAAAACAACTGCTTGAGCAAGAAGAATCTAAATTTAGCCTCTGATTACAAAACCTATTCCGAAAGTGAAGCTGGGGTTGGAGAAAACTTCTCATGACATGTTCCACAGTTACCAGCTGCATCCCCCGACCACCATCCCTGGCCACGTGTCATAGGTTCTGCCCCGCAGTCAGCAAAGACACACACAGCATGTGTGTCCCACACACACACATAAGGCTAGGGAGTCTCCCTCGGTGAGCTCATCAACCAGCCTGCACAGCAGCCCCCCAGGAGCCCAGGCACAGGCAGCCACTGCCCCTCAGGCTGCTGCAGCCTCAGGCACGGTCAGCACGCTGTGGTCACTGGGAAGGACCGCTGGGGCAGTGCTAAGGGGCGGGGAACAGTAATCAGGGCAGGCTCACAGCAGATGCCCCTCCCACTCCTCTACAGACTTCAGAAAGTTCTTACCAAAATGCTTTCTAAGGTTCAGGTTCAAATCTGGTTCCCATCATCCCAAATTATGTTTGTTTTTAAAAAACTAATGGCAGTATGTGAAGGATGAACGAATAACACATACTGAAGAAAACCCCAGAAATTAACATTTATTTTCTCTAAGTACCAAGACTAGGGTTTATGACAAACCAAATTAGAACAAGATTAGCCTTGTTTGAATTTGACTGTTGATAATAAATAAAAAATTACAACCTGGCAAATATTTGCTGTGAAGATTAAGACTGCTAAAACTTAGCATCTGTGATGAATTAAAAGAAAGTTTGAAATGAAGAGTAAAAATAGAAAGGATGTAAGGAAATAAAAATATAAGCAATCTACTTCTGGTACTAGAAAATTCAACACAGTCAATCTAAGGCAGGGAAGATGATAAAGCTAATAAGGGCTGGGCACAACCAGCAGGTAGAAAGCAATGAGGCTGAAACAACACACGACGTATTGAGAAGCCATTTGAAAAGAATCGTAAGGTCTAACTTTCCCCTTCGACATCAATCTGCAAACATGCAGCATTTGAAAGGGGAACTGACTGTAGCCGACAGGAAGCAGCAGAAGAAAGACAAGTGTGAGCTGGGGTAGAAAGAAAGAGTGATACAGACCCTCCTCCACTTACAGTGGGTTAATCGTGATAAATCGAAAATAGCGTTGTCGAAAACACCTTTAAGACACCTAACCTACCCAACATCATGGCTTAGTCTAGACCATGTTAAATGTGCTCAGCCCACTTACCTTGGCCTACAGGTGGGCAAAATCATCTTACACAAAATCTGTTTTATAATAAAGTGGTGAGTATCTCGTGTAACTTAAGGAATACGGTACTGAAAGTGGAAAACAGAATGGTATGTGGCTTCGGAATCGGGTAGCTGACTGTGGCTCCCTGCCACAGCCCAACATCATGAGAATTTCTCTGCATACCACACTGAGAAAAAAGATCAAAATTCAAAGGACAGTTTCTCCTGAATGCATTCCACTTTCACACCATATTGAGGTGGAATCATCATTAAGTCAAGGACTGTCTGTGTTAATATCTGTAACTTCCTAATGAACTTCCAGCACCGCAGTCTTGGGGGTACAAACGGTCACACAGAGTCTCATCCGTTCCCACTTGTCTGTCCTGCCTGGGTAACTAGTGAGGCTGCTCTCTGAGGGAATGGCTGGTGGACTGACTGCATTGCTGCTTCACCAAACAGGTGATTCTGACTGATTATATAAAGAAACCTCTTACCCTGCTCTAACCCTCATCCTGGGTAACTATTTAAGGTAAGCGTTTAAATATCAGCTTCACATCAAGTAAAGGCGAGTTTTACCCATTTATTTTTTGTTAAAAATATCCCTAAAACAGACAAAATAAGAATTGTCCCATTTTTCTATGTAGTTAATACAGTTATATAATAATAGCTTATTTTTGAGAGCTTCCTATGGCCAGACAGTTTTTTAAGTTCAGCCTTTTTATTTAACTTAGTCCATCTGATTCTCATAACTTCATTGAGGTAGACCCACACACACACTTTACAGATAAGGATACTAAGGCTCAGAGAAGTTAAGTCATTTGACTAAAATCATGGCGCCAAGCTTAAAACTCAGTCTGTCAGGTTCAAGACTGGCTGTGGTCTTAATCGATTAGCATACACTTATGAAATAAAGAATTTTTCCAGGTACCAGCTTATTTCCACATACAAAATTAAAATAAGACATAGGTATCCATACTTAAATACAGAAAATCTCATGTATAATCATATGCAATCATAATAGCAACATGTGTCTCTAGATTCCACAAAGTCCTGTCTTATTTATTCACTCATCCAACCTTCTCAGTGAGACTGCCAGCTAGTGCTGGGGGCACCAGGAATGCAGGGGCAGTTTAAAAAAAAAAAAAACTTTGAGATCTGACATTTAGAAAAATAAAAATTATAGTCATGAGAAAAATCGAAACGTGCTACACTTCTCTGTACTTGTCATGGGATAGTAGGCCTTTTGTGAATTATATGTGAGGATGACAGAGTCGTGTCCTGATCTTTTCAGGGCCTAGGACATATACCCACACATCATTATGCATCTGTCCCTGGGTACATGTCATAACACATATGTAATAGGCAACCAGTGTCCTAAAACTCTGCTCTCCCACAGCTGAAGTCCTGAAGCAGTCCACATTCTAGAGGGAGCTCCCAGCAACTGGCACCAACCACCTCCCTGCAGGGCTCGGCAGGAGGCAGCGGAAATGGCTCTCCCAGCAGCAAACCCCTCTGTACCAACCTTCCCGCCTCACCAAGCCTCACCCACCAGTCTAGCAGGGAGTCAGACATGCAGGCCCGCAAGGGAGGCCAGTGTTGGAGAGGAGATCCCTGTTCTCTCTCCTTCCCTAAGGGGAGAGGGCAGCCTGGGCCCCAGAATCAGTCAGGCCTAAAGAGCCCTCGAGAGGTAGGGTCTGGCCTCTCCTTTCCCATCTGGACGCTTGCCGAGCAGAATATCCGTGCCCTCCCTGTACCATCACCGGAAGGGAACAGTAGGGGGCTTCCCTGGTGGTCCAGTGGTTAAGAACGCAACTTGCAGTGCAGGCGACACTGGTTTGATCCTTGGTCTGGGAAGATCCCACGTGCCATAGAACAACAAACCCCACGCGCCACATGCCCCCGTGAGCCGCAGCGACTGAAGCCGGTGTGCCCCAGAGTCCTCGCTCTGCGACAGAAGCAGCCTCTGCAGTGAGAAGCCTGTGCTGCCGGAGAGGCGCTCCCGCCCGCCGCAGCTGGAGAAGGCCCGTGTGCCGCAGGAAGACCAGTACAGCCAAGACCAGATGAATAGTGACCTTTTCACACAGAAGAGACAGAAAACGGAGCAGCAGAGATGGCCCCTGGAGAACGTCCGGAGGCCCCGGAACATGGTGCGCTCCGGGGAGGGTGAGCGCACCCTGGACAGGCGTCCTCTAAACCTGAGGTCCACGTGAACGTGGGCATGGTGCCCGGTGACGCCTAGAAATCTCCACGGGGCCCAGCGTGCTGTGCCCGCTAGGAAGACGGGAGGCCCCCCTCCACCAGTTCTGCTCAGCTCTCGGGGGACGGGCTCCAGGGGCTCCCCTCAGCCCTGACGAGGCGGCACTAACGGCCAGGTGCGTGCGGGAGGGGTGCCCAAACTCGGACGCAGTAGAGAGCACCTCATCAGAAAGAACCTTTCCAAACCAGGCTGCGAGAGGCCTGCGGCCTGCCCACCCCAACATTCAAACAACCCCACAGAATGCCCTCAGCATCCTCCACCTCCTCAGTGCCCA